CTAATCCATAAATTTCTGTTACTATTTTATAAACCATTGATAAATATATTTAATTCTTTGTCTTAATTTCTTAACTTACTTTTAAAATTAAATCATTAGTTAATAGTTTAAAATCCCGTGACCCTAAATTCTTAAGTCTTTTAGTTAGTTTTAGTATTTAACTTTAATATTTCTTTTATTCTTCATTAATTATCCTCTTCAATTCGTAAACTAAAGTAACTGTTTACAAGTTGCTAGTTGTAAATTACCTTTTGGAAAATAAAATTAGTCCAAAGGTCGACTAGTAACAATGGTTATTATTGAAAAATAGAAAAATTCTTGAAGGTCTAATTCTTTTGAGTTAGAATGCAGTAAAGATTATATAAAAATAGTTTATATTTCATTAAAAAAATTGTAAAGTAATTTACAGAGTATGTGAATCTTTTACAATTAGGTTATTATATTAAATTATTTATTGTAAATATAGAAATAATAAAATATGAATTCGGGATCAGCAGTTGCATGAAGATTATAAACTAAATTATTAATTCTAAATTTGAGTGAATGATAGATAATAAAAAGTAATTTGAGATGATAACGACGATAAATCAAACCCATTTTGAATAAGTAAATATGATTAATCTACAGCTATCTTGTATAGAAAATCCCTAGAGTCTTCCATCTCATCCCTATAAACAAAAGGAATATTATAATATTTGAAGAGGATTCCCAAGGAAATTGCTTCGTTGGCTACCCAATCTTTTGCAGAAATAATAATTTCATCACCATGCAGTGATTTTGATACCGTATGATAAAGTCCCTCAATGCATTTTGTCACGGCATTTATATAAACCTTATTTAACTTGCACGTTTCTTTCAGACATTTTTTAAAATCTTCTTTTTCACATAATTTATGTAACAATTTATTAATAAGTTCATTCCAAAAAGGCTCTCTATGTTTTTTTTCATGGGAAGTAATCTATTGTAGAAACACTATAATAAATAAAATGTAAAAAAAAAGTTTATGACTTATAAAAAATTACCTGAACTCTGATGAATTCTAAGGCAGCTCTCACATTACATATTCTTCAAAGTTTAAACAGTTCTTCTGAACGAGCATGTAACACAGTTTCCTTTTTACTGAATTGCTTCGTTAGTTTAACTATCTTTACTTGTAATACGGCTTCCTTTTTACTGTTTTCCTTTATTAGTTTAAGTATCTTTGCTTCATTCTTTTCATATATCTCCTTCATCAAATTAATCGCAGGTAGAATTTCTAAACTTATGAATGCAGGAACGCCCACTGGCAATTCTTTTTTATTATTTTCTTTCATAAAAACACTATATGTAATGAAAAAATGTTTTGTATTTCAAAGTTTGCCAACCCTTTCGTAGAAGGATAATTGGAATAACATTTTAGAACTTGAGAAGAAGAGATCATTGTTGAAACTTTTGCGTTCTTCGAATTAAAAAATTAATTTTTTAGAAAACCATTTTTAAAGACTATTTTCTAATTTATATTTTTTTTTTTTTATTTATTCTAAAGTATCTATCATAAAATAGACTCTTTTTATCTTTTCCAGAATATCTGTCATGACTACAATAATGTTATCTCGTACAAAGCGATTGTAATAAATTTTATATCAGGGATAATGTAATTCATATTTACTTTGAGCCAATTAAAAATCAAAATCAAACATTGAAAACTCTCCCATAAAAGAATTAAAATATACTTAAAATCAAAAATATTTTAAGAATATATTAAGTATTAAGGAGTCACATACTTAAATTTCTTAAATTTATTAAATAACGTCCCTTGAGACAAATAGTGATGGTGTGACTAAAGAGGTGAGTTCTTATAGTGAGGAAATTTTAATATGATCTCTTATATATATAGACCAAGCACTGTGATTATAAGAGAGGAGCTCTTATACAGTGAGGTGCCTTTAGACTGTACTGTACACTTAAAATTTTTTCTGCCCTGCCTTAAGAATATTGTTGATCAGAATCTGTGCAACTGCTGATTTAGAATTCGTATTTTCTATTTCTATATTTACAATAACCTAATTTGTACAAGAATTAAATATTCTAAATACTTATATTATTCATAAATAATCATTATTGCTATAGATAATTATTGTTTTACAAAAGGATCAGACCTATAAAAGGTTTTTTATTTTTAAAATAATGACTGAGTTTGATCAAGGCATGGGAGATGAGTTTCAATGGTTTTATATTAAAAGTTGTTATCTTTCCAAAAGAGATTGGATTAGAGATAGGGTTTGTTCTTTGGTTTGTTTTTTAATAATTATTAATTAAATTAGATATTATTACCTTTCAGTTTATTGTGTTAGTGTTTACAGACATTATTTCTTTATGTAATTAGTGGTATGACTGTCCTTTTCTTTTTTTTATAAAATATTTTTAATAAATAAATTCTTCATTATATATTTTAATTTTTATTTATATTTACTTATCCGTATGTATATACAGTATATGTTATATCTCAGATCACATTCTTGACTCAGACCGTGACTGAGGCACCTCAGGTGTCAACCATTAACCAGAATTATAAAATTGACCTATGTAGATCCTTCTAACCTTGGATAACCCTAACCCTAACTTTGGCCAGTTTTAATCTGAGTCAAGAATCGATTCCAATCTATTGTATGTATTTGTTGTTGTAGAGAAGATAGAGAAAGAGGAAGAAAAAAAGAAAAAAAATTTTTTTTAACAAAGGTGCTTCTAATAAATAAACTATACCAATTTATGCACCTATTTTTCTCCTTTTTTTTACATTGCATTTCGTTTTTTATTATTATTCATTTAATAATAAAAAAAATTCATTTTATTCCACCTGATTTACTTCTTCGTGTATTGTATTACCATTTTGGTCATGTTTTTTTTTTCCAATGGAGTCACGCTTTGTTAAACAATTTATTTTGCAGTTGATAAAAATTAAACAAATTTATAAAAACTACAAATATATTTAATACAATTGGCTATGGCTAAATTAATAACACAATGGCTCAACCTATTGCTATCCTAGTGTTATCTAAAACAACTGATGGTCATGCCTCCACCCATCTCTTTTTAACCAATCTGAGCAAAACATTGTTGAAAAGGAATACTAACCCATCAAGGAGCTATAGATTAGGAAACTGTACACTAGCATTTGTACAGAAAAAATTTAGATAGAAGATTAAAAGTAGATAAATATCCATATCCACTAATATTAAAACTAATTTTTAGAGCAAGAAATTACATGAAACCTTATGCACCTCCCCAATTAGTTTTTGGATAATGTCTGTCTCGATTTCCAGACTGTATACGGTTCAAATGTCCACTTACACCATAGACTCTAGTTCCTAACCCTTTTACTGTATTAGCCAAATCAACTAATCCCTTAGACATATTGTCTAATCTTTTAATACATTTGAGTTGTTTGTTTCTTCTCTTGTTTTTATTTCTTTTCCTTTTCTATCTTTATTATTATTTTCTTTCAAGACTTGATCATGTTCATCAAGACAATTTTCAATGGCAGAAAGTCTTTTTGTTATATCTGTTAGAACTTTAGCTACTTCTTCCATTTCCTCACGCAACTCTTCAATTTGTGCGGTATACAAATCCATTGTTTTTATTATATTTTGGTTAAATTCATCAAATTCTTTGTGTTGTTCTTCAATTTTATTCTTATTAATATCCTTTTCAATATTATTAACTTTCTTCTTAACCATATTTGCATAAGTATTTTGGTTTGGAGTAGTTTTTATTAGATTGGAATAATAATTTGGTTTATATTTTTTATACAAATTACCA